TCATTCCTAAGCTTCATGGCACACGGTTTCAATCGCCTGTCTGACTGGCTCTTTTTGAGGGATCTGAAGAGGATACGTGGGTGGTCCCGGAGCCTGATAAAGTCAAGCCTACAGGTCACGACATCTGACTTCTATATCAAAAATATATCACACTTTCTCAAGTACATGAATGAAACACCATGCAAGGGGAGCAGGCTCAACCAGAATGACATGATTTTAATCACACGGGAAGTTGCTGCCATCCTGAAGTCCATGAGAAAGAATGTGTTTATCCACCAGATGCAGGTGAAGCGGGACAAGATGGAAGGTCTGCCAAGCCATAAAGACATCATGGCATGTTTGACTGCGGCCAAAACTCGCATCCCTCAGCTCCTGGACGTGATGACCAGCAATCCGACTCACGCAACCCGGAGCCTGCTCTATGGGTACATGACCCTCAATTGGAGCTGCATTTATGGGCACCGTCCGGGGGTCTACTCCAACATGACCAACACGGAGGTCCTAAAGGCGGAGATAACTGGCACTGCCTTTGGCCACCTCATCCACGTGAGTGAGCTATTAAAACATGTGTTTATTCTGGCAGTGATACACATGTTGTGGATGATTGATACTTGTATTGACGCTCTCTAACTCTGTCATAACAGGTAAGCAACCACAAGACGGCCAACGCGTTCGGGGAAGCGCAGATGTACCTCACCATAGAAGAATTTGGATGGATGAAGAGATGGCTGGAAATCAAGGGGACGCTGACCGGCACCAACAACCGCTACTTCCTCTGCATAGCGGGGAAGAACCCATCGAGGAACCTTGCCACCTTCCTGAGGTTGGCATGGGCTGATGTTGGACTAAAAGGTCCCATTAACTTCACCGACCTCCGCACAGTCCACGCCGATAATGCGAAGAGGTTTCAGGACATAAGCAACCGCCAAAGAGTGAGTGATTTCATGTGTCACAACACTGAAACTGCAGACAAATTTTATGCCAAGAATCCTTCTTTGAAGGAGGCTGCGGACATACGAATGCTCTTCACAGAGTCACTGCAAGCAGCGGCCGCAGCAGCATCAGGGGTGAGTGAAGACAATTTGGGGGACATTGACATCCACAGTGACCGTGACAGCTCTGGAGAGGAGCATAGCCCTACTCCCTACCAAGACTCCACCGATACCGAGACGTCAGATGAATTATACAAAGACTTCAACGCTTGGAGAGCGGCGAAGAGGGAACAGTCAATGGCCGAACACAGTCCCTCAGACATGGGTGAAGAGAGGGTGCCAGCCTCTGCACCAACTTCACCCGATACGGACAATGTTGCCAGTGACCAACTTGTAAATATGCAATGTTTTGTTGTACTCAGTCCGCTTGTGCTGGATGAGTTAATAATGTTATAATGTTATAAAGTGTCAATGTATATATTTCTGTAAATAAAGTTTGTTAAAATTACTTAATTTGTCCTCTTTTTTATAACCCAATATGGGTGTTTCCCCATTAAGATCCCCAGGGGCACGAGGTTCTGGTGGTGTGCATGAAGGGGTTTAGTCCACGTGAGGAGTGCTCAAATGTGGGAGGATGTGTAAGGCAGCGGAGGGTAAAACAAGTTAAAGTGTGAACCTCCAGCAGGGCAGGTGGTGCTGCTGTGAATAAGGCCGACTATGGAGTCCGATGGGCGGACTGTAAAGCACCGCAAAATACACCCCCTGATAGGTAACCAGGGCCATGAGAACATCCTCCACAGGAGGGTGGGTGGTGCTGTGAATAAGGCCGACTATGGAGTCCGATGGGCGGACTGTAAAGCACCGCAAAATACACCCCCTGATAGGTTACCAGGGCCATGAGAACATCCTCCACAGGAGGGTGGGTGGTGCTGCTGTGAATAAGTCCGACTATGGTGTCCGATGGGCGGACTGTAAAGCACCGCAAAATAGACCCCCTTATAGGTTACCAGGGCCATGAGAACATCCTCCATAGGAGGGTGGGTGCTGCTGCTGTGAATAAGTCCGACTATGGTGTCCGATGGGCGGACTGTAAAGCACCGCAAAATAGACCCCCTTATAGGTTACCAGGGCCATGAGAACATCCTCCATAGGAGGGTGGGTGCTGCTGCTGTGAATAAGTCCGACTATGGTGTCCGATGGGCGGACTGTAAAGCACCGCAAAATAGACCCCCTTATAGGTTACCAGGGGCACGAGTTTCTTGAGGGTGTAATCATCTGGGTTTAGTCCGTGGGGGAGTGCTTAAGTTCGGGGGCCCGGGGTCCCAAGGTGCGCGAGGTTATGGAAGTACGCATGTCAGGTAGATATGCTGGAAGTCTGTAGTCCGTGTTTTGGGTCTCTGTGAGCGGCCAAAGTGAGGTGGTTTTCCCGGTGTATGTCATGGAAGTCTGACATAGCCTGTGTCCTGTGAAATAGCCTGTTTGCCCATGTCAAATCTTATTATGAGGCACTATTTTGGGATACATTTTATCCATTTTAACCCCTTTCTCTGGTTCTTCCAAAAGTTAACTTTAACTTATTTAGCCTCTGGAGGAATGCAAGGGGAGTTGCCAGGGGACTCTACCTGCATTATGAGGCACTATTTTGGGATACATTTTAACCCCTTTCTCTGGTTCTTCCAAAAGTTCACTTATACTTATTTAGCCTGTGGAGGAATGCAAGGGTAGTTATCAGGGGAGTCTACCTGCATTATGATGCACTATTTTGGGATACATTTTATCCATTTTAACCCCTTTATCTGGTTCTTCCAAAAGTTCACTTATACTTATTTAGCCTGTGGAGGAATGCAAGGGTAGTTATCAGGGGAGTCTACCTGCATTATGATGCACTATTCCCAGGTACATTTTATCCATTTTAATCCCTTTCTCTGGTTCTTCCAAAAGTTCACTTATACTTATTTAGCCTGTGGAGGAATGCAAGGGTAGTTATCATGGGACTCTACCTGCATTATGAGGCACTATTTTGGGATACATTTTATCCATTTTATCCATTCTGTACATTTGGCTTACCGCGACTGGTAGTTAATGTCGCTACGGGGGACGCGTATATCCCTAAGGTATGTATGTTCATCAGTGTGAACCGTGGGCCTGCATCTGGGCCAGGTTCCATTCTAGTCACAGCCAGTCTCAAACACTGACTCAATCTTGATCTCATCAGAGTTTTCAGGTGTTTCATGTGTGAAAAGGTTTGCTCGCAGATATACGTGCTGCCAAAAACTGTAAACATCTTCATTGCGTGTTTTTTTTACGTTGTGTGGGGTATGTGTTGTTTGGGAGGGCGGCATAGAAGTCAATGAGACTGTTGGGCTTCAATGCGTCTTTCAGAACATCACAGTTCTGTAATTCGGCCAACTCAAACTGATAAGAAGGCTGGGCTTAATCGATGTCGGCAAGAAAGGGGTTCTGGAAAAGACGGATTTATTTTGCATTAACATGTAGTATCCGGAATCGCACACCGAACTCCGCCTTCAGCATTTCCAGTGCTTCCACACACTTTTCAGCTGGGAACGGGACCGCTGGGTTCTCTGCAGAGAGGTTTTGGGTAGCAGGGAGATGGATGAAGTTGTCCTTTTTCACTTGTTCCAAAAGCAGCACAAGTTTCACCTCATATGCTTTTATGTGAGAATACATGTCGCAAATGAGTTTCCCCTGGCCTTGTAGCTGCAAGTTAAGGCTGTTCAGCATTTCTGTCACGTCTGTTAAAAATGCGAGGTGCCATTTCCATTCTGGGTCCATCAGCTCTGGGACCGTTTTGTCTTTTGAATGAAGAAATGCGTTAATTTCGGGTAGCAGCTCGTAAAAACGCCTCAAAACTCTGCCCCGGCTCAACCATCGGACCTCTGTGTAGTACAGCACATCGCCGTGCGCAGACTCCAGTTCAAACAGGAATTGTTGGAACCAGTGGCGGTTCTAGACCAATCTGACTGGGGGGGCCAGTTATTTCTGAGGGGGGCACAATAAATGCAGGACGAAAAAGAGAACTAGACAGTATGAAGTAATTGCGCATAAGAAAACAATGCAATACAGTTATTGGTATTTGTTTCAGTACACTTATTTATTTCAGATAGATCTTATAGTTATTACTGTTAGCTTCAGCTTAAGTTATAGTACACATTTTGCTCTAACACCATATCATATTTATATAAAGATAAAGGCAATGAACAGTTACATCTCTACTTTACATAAGGGTGTCTGCATCCCAGGCTGTAGTCTCCTTCCCAAAATCTCACATTACAGCAACAAAATCCTGCGGTTTTTGTGATTTTTGGCAAACCGATCAACAAATAAGTCAAGATTCAAAGCCTTTGACCTCCTTGACTCAATACTAAGCAGACCCAGATTGCTCAGTCTCTCATCAGTTATGGTGGATCTGAGAAAAGTTTTGACCAGCTTCAATGTAGAAAAACTACGCTCACAGGAAGCAGAACTGACTGGGATTGCGACTGCTATTTGTATTCTGCTGATCTAACAGTCCACTTTTTAGCTTTGAGAGTTTGTCTGCTCGCATTTGGCCTTGCAAGTTATCATACTTGTCTTTGTGACGGGATTCATAGTGTCGGCGCAGATTGTATTCTTTGAATACCGCCACCGCCTCTTGACAGATGAGACAAACAGCCTTTTCTTTGCATTGAACAAAAAAATAATCGTTTGACCACTGCAGGTTAAATACCCTGCATTCTGAATAAATGTTTCTCTTACCTAACCTTTTCGCCATTATTCCGTTCTATTTGACAGGGGCTAGTCTAGGATTCGCTTGGCCAGACTGAAAAAAAATCATAATGCGTCTCTGGTATTGTTCAGGGGGCCGGGCCAAATGTGGAGCGGGCCGTATTCGGCCCGCGGGCCTTAGTTTGGGGACCACTGCCCTACCGTATCTGTGGGGAACCGTCTTCTCTTGACTCATCCCACATTCCTAACTGCCAGCTAATTGGCTCCTGAACACAGGCAAACATCATCCCTTTTCAGAACTCTGTGGCAAACAGGAAATCAGTGAGTGAAAATGACTATTTGTAAATAATAAAATGTCTCCATGTTCAGTGGAGTCACAGTAACAACATCTTCATGATTACTAATCTCCAAATAACAAACCATGGAGAATTGTTTCAATTCAAAATAATTTATTTCAAAACACTATAGGAAAAGCATAACCTAATGACAGAAAGTATAAAGAGCAAGTCATGAAATAGAAGTAATAATAGCATTGGTGTCCAGTGTTCAAACTCCAGCAGAAGAATCCCCAAGCTGGCTTTTGGTCTGAAGTTCATTTACAGAAAGCGCGTTCAGTTAAAAGGTGACTTGGGACAGGTCACTGGATCAAATCTAAATAAAAACCTGAAACTAAAAGTTCTTCCATCAACATGTCTCATTTCTCTTTCTCTAATGTTCCCCGTTAAGATAATAGCAATAGTTAAGAAAAAATGATTGTGTCTTATGTTTGGAAATGGTTCACTCTCCAATCTTTCCCCACTGTAATTGACAGTAAGGGTGTCCACTCAGCAGTCTTTCTATTGGTCCAGGCGGCCTACATCAGCATGTGGGGCCCCTCCCTGAAGCTGAGGTCACAGAGCAGGGATAAATGGTCCGAGGGGTAATGGTAGGAGGGGAGGCGGTCAGGGCCGATCTGCTCCTCAGTGGGAATGTCCAACAGGCAGTCCACACTCAAAGCATCATGGGTATACCAGATGTAGTCCAAAGTACTGCAGCTCTCTCCAGAGGGGCGGATCTTCCAAGAGGTGTAGGCGGGCTCAGTCTGTCCGTCAGAGCTCAGCATCTTGTACGCCGAATCCAGACGGAGTGTGGAGGAGCTGAAGCGGCGGTACACGTCCTCTGAGGGCTCAGCGTTAAAGTCTCCACACACGACCAGCGGGACGGGGCCCGCCCCCTCCTCAGGGCTGCTGGGCCCCCCTTGGGATGTGATGCTGCGTAAACTCTGCAGCAGGTCTGCCCCCTGCACACTGCGCAGCCTCTCCCAGCCGCTCCGAGCTTTCAGATGGGTGACGGCGACACACAGCCGCCGGCCCGTTGCCCGGCAGCTGAGCGTCTGGACGATGGCCACCTGGTTGGTGGGCAGCATCATGGCCGACAGCCTCAGGTGAGCTGTGGCCTGCAGAGAGAAGCGTGACCGGCGGTAGAACAGAGCGCAGCCGTCAGGACCGTTGTTCTGCTCCACATCCAGACAGGGGACCAGGGTTTGGCCAGGAAGCTGCCTTGGTAACCGAGGCTGGCCATGATTGGCTGGAAAGTGTCGTAGTAGTGGTCTACTTCCTGCAGGCACAGGATGTCTGGGCTGTGAGTAAGGATCTCCTCCAAGATCAGGTACTTCCTCTCCTCCCAGTTAAGAGCGTCCAATGGACATCGAATAAACCCGTCCTTCCCTTCACCAAGAGCTGCACAGAAACACAGAGACATTCATTTTAGCCTCACTCTGTACTTATGGCTAGAATGTATGGAAACATCTTAGTTAGCATTTTCCAACACTACCATTAAGAACACACTGCAGCAGAGTATGATGGATGTCTTTAGTTTGGCCGGTGATCGAAAAAAGGAATTACTGAAAACAATTGGACACAATGGTGGTGCTAGATGAAAATCCAGAGGATCACTGAAGTGATTACTGATTGTCCTGAGGGGAACATGAATGTCTAAACCAAAGTAAAATAGCTGTATAGGTATTTCACTGAATAGAACTCTGGAGATTTAGCTTGTAAACAGGCTACTTTAAAAAATGTGGTCTTAGACTGTCTCTCAACTCAAACTCCATTCTCTATCACAACAAGCTATCAGACAAAAGAAAACAAGTTTGCTAATCGGCATTAAACAAAAAATTAACAATGATATTGCAAAAAACGCAACAAAGGTAGGTACGTATTGGACAATTCTCAGTGAGTGCTTTGTAGACGAGCCGTATTCTGATGCAGGAACACGTTCTTATATCTCAGGCAGAGCGCTGCTGTCAGACAGCTCTCATTAAAACATTTATATTAGAACACTGTTGTTCTTTAAGTACCAATACAGGCAGGATTGGGTCCTGTGCCGTTTTACCGAACAGTGTATCGCAGTGCTTTCTACATCTCTACCTTGTGCCAGAATGTTCCACTGCATGATCCGTATGGACGAGTTGTGTTTGTGGCGGGGGGCCATGCTGCTGGGATAGACCAGGTTGCGGTGTGGGCGGGCCGGACGCCTCTGCAGGACCTCCTCACACTCTCTCAGCAGCTCCTCCGGGTCCTGGTCTGGGTTCTCCTCTGGGTATGCCTCCGGTTGGGCCAAGGGGGCGCTGTTCAGGGACTGGGCCAACGTACCAAACAGCCTGCTGCTGCTACCACCCATCGGACAAACTGATGAAGAGAGGGAGAGAAGTGTAAACAAATTGTCATTAAAGGCCTAAAGACATATTGCCAGATGGACATATTAGATGAAGTGGTACAGGGTGAAGCCTGAAATAAGGATTGTCCTGAATATGTGTGTGTGTGTGTGTGCGCATGCTCACACATTTCATACAATGTTTTTCTGTCCACCATTGTTTGAGTTTAAACTCTGATAATCATTACTAAAATCCTGTTGACCACTAACAACGATAAACTGTTGTTCTCATCTGATTTAGCAAGTGTCTCAGAGTCACATGTAGCAGATGTAAAGTCTGCAGTGAGCCCTATATAGCTGTCCAAACAGACATGAGTGACTGATGTTACATAGTGAGCACTCTCTATTGACCCATGTCTTGTGGGTTATGTAACTTGGCCTGACCAATCCCATGACTGGGGGGGGGGTGTTCATGAGAATGTACATGACCTGACCACCACCGTTATGAAACTACCTAGCCTGTTTCCATGTGACAAAAGCTACAATAGACAATCTTTCAACCTGGTTAGAGCTGAAGACTCTGACCCAAACACCTTTACTTGCTAGCAGTGCATGTAAAAGGAATTCTAGCACAATGCTGTACCACATGAAGAACAAGCACCTGGCTGCCATGTCTGTTCATTCTCTACTCATGTAAAGACAAAACCAAAGCTAAAAGAAAGAGGATTTGGACATTCATCAGGTGGATACAAACACAATGCGGAACCAAACATCATGCGGCTATGTTACTGCTAACAACACCACCATTTCAAATGTATTCATGTTGTTCACAAGTGTTCTTTTAAGCCTATCAATTCTATTAAAAACATTTCTTGTTAATATTTAATCAAATAATATCAAAAAGCGAATAATGTAACCCTGCCTATTGCTGCTGCTTTTCTACTGCTCTTCTCTGAGTAAGATAAGGCCTTACTAATGGAGCGGCACTGATCTGCTGCACTCTTTCTTCGTATCGGAAGCAACCAGGTCAATCCTGTGTGCTAACATCTAAGCAGCAGCTTGAGCTCTTGTTCTCAGCACAGTCCTACTATCCTATCTGTCAGCTAGTTGAGTGTGGCACGACATGCAGTGTCAGAGCTCGCAGGAAGGAAACAAAGGCTGCTCAGACCAGCAGCTGCTAGAGAGCCGCCTGAAGAACATCCTGTGTCACAGTTTCACTGAGATTAAATACAAGTGGTCACAAACTAGAAGACAGACATCTAAACTTCTGCAAAGTCACAATCATGATCACTTTTCTTTTTCATACCAAACTAGCACTAAAGTGGTCTTCCAAATCTTTTGACAGAAAATGAATTACAGGACTGATAAAGATCAACTCTTTAACGTGTGGATGGGTTTTGATTTAATTGTAAATACACTAAATAAGAACTGAGACCTTGACTTTAGTTTTGTAACGATCAACAGAAAATGATTCAGTATATATTTGTGATAAGCAAAGTACAAGTCTTTTAACAAAAAGGTGCCAGTTTGCTGGTTGTTGCATCTCAACTGTTGATCACATAGAGAGCTCTCACTTGCTCTCTCTCTCGCTCTCTCTCTCGCTCACTCGCTCTCTCTCACTCGCTCTCTCTCTCTCTCTCACTCTCTCTCTCTCTCGCTCACTCGCTCTCTCTCGCTCACTCGCTCTCTTTCTCGCTCACTCGCTCTCTTTCTCGCTCACTCGCTCTCTCTCTCTCGCTCTCTCGCTCACTCGCTCTCTCTCTCTCGCTCTCTCGCTCTCGCTCACTCTCTCGCTCACTCTCGCTCACTCGCTCTCTCTCTCGCTCACTCGCTCTCTCTCTCTCGCTCACTCGCTCTCACTCGCTCTCTCTCGCTCTCACTCGCTCACTCTCTCTCGCTCTCTCGCTCTCACTCTCTCGCTCTCTCTCTCGCTCTCTCTCTAGCTCTCTCTCTCGCGCTCTCTCTCTCTCGCGCGCTCTCTCTCTCTCGCGCTCTCTCTCTAGCTCTCTCTCGCGCTCTCTCTCTCTCTCTCTCTCGCGCTCTCTCTCGCTCTCTCTCTCTCTCTCTAACCCTGGCTTTTCCAAAGAACCTGGTTTGATGAGCACATCCTACACGTTATCTGAAGGTTTCAAACTCCTCAGAGCAGACCACCATGGGACTACCCCACAGACCCCCAGGGACATACACTGGGACATGTTTGTGGACTTCAGCGTGGCGTTCATTACCAGACCATCATGCCTCCAGGACTCTCTGCTGTCCCCACTGCTCTTCTCCCAGGCCCGAATGTCTGTTTCATTGTGCTGTCAGTAGAGCTGAGTTTATGTCCTCAACTTTCTGTGTGCTGATGTCTGAAACAACTCTACATTTACGTTCGTTTTTGAGGTCCGAAAATAGAGAGTTGTCGATGCCTTACTATCTTCTGAGCGGCCACAATACTAACAGCAGTAGTTAAGTTTAGTTAATCCACTTCTTGAAAGTATATTTCTTCTGCTCAGCTCTTGCAGCTTTTCCAAAATTGCCCTTTTTTTTGCCCAGTGCTTTTTCTTCAATATTACCTTTATTGTTGTTTGCTAATTTCTCACCACATATAAAGCATAAAAGTAAGCCAACATTGTTAGCAAAAAAAGCAAATAGTTCTGCATAGTCCCTGCAGAATTCAAATGTTTGTATTATTCAACCATGGGCAGCTTTCTGAGGACGGAGTCGAAATGTCAGTATTAAATGATGCGTAAGTGTTGAATGGTCTTAATGTCACAGTATCACCTTGAAGTCTTAATAAAGCCGGATAAAACAAGAGTATCTCTGTTGATACATTTTCAAGAAGGAGTTGGTTTTTGAAATGTTATAGATCGTTTCATCAATCCCATTTTGAGTCATAAGGGAGTGACAGAACTGATGAGTCAGCGCGCTTTGACCTGGCTTATTGTTTGTGACGTAATTGGGGAACGTGAGAAAGGCCGATAGAGCTATTGTAACGTTAGAGCTGTCACGCTGGTGAGGAGCCTACTGAAGGTAAGAAGGTGTACGGTGGTCCTACCTGATGCTGCCCCAGTGTTGGACGCTCTACTCGGCTTCAGCTGAGGACAGGTCCTTTTGAGTCCCCCTTCTCCTCCACTCACAGCGGAGTGACAGCAGCGTGTCGAACCTGCTGCCTGGGAGAGCGGCCCCCTGGCTGCCGTCCCTCCCCTCGAGGGGGCACATAGTTGGCTTAACAAAGCCGAACAGCGACGAGCTGTATTCATTCTACAGTGTTCAGCGTTAGCGTAGAAAGAGCTGTACGTTACCGGATGCTGTCTGTCACTGAAGAAACCGAGCCATTTATTTTAAAAGCGTGAGAACTTTCCCCTCGCACTCGGTTTGACAGGAACACTTCCTTTGTGCGGTGCTCTTGAAGGTAATAGAAAGCCGGCCGGCATAAGTTACGTCATGCTGCTGTTGAGTCACGAAACTCCCGCTACTGAGGGGTGACACAATCATGGTTTAGTCCATAATGTTTTTCAGAGGGCACCAAAATCCGTGAGACCTACTTTTTACATGTCTCTAAATGTTGCATTTTTGTTAACAAACGAATCAGGAGGACCAAACAAAAAGAACTACCTACAGAGCTCCCCCGTTCTTATTATACATCCATGGCTCCCCCCCTGTCGTCTCCGGTGTCTCGAGCCTCTGAAACGTGTACTATGGAGGCAGGACCAGCAGGAAGAGGGCGTTAACATTTCATGAACAATCCAATCAGCGTTTATTACAGAGGAACGACGTCAATAGCACGCCCCCCTACGCCTGTTCCATTGATGTATAATAAGAACGGCCTGTTCCCCTGTTCCCATGGATGTATAATAAAACATTAGTGACGCGTCCGGGTTTTAGGACGCGTCACTGACTGTGGCACTCTATTCTGTCTACGCAGTGGTCGTCTCAAATTCTACACCTGAAAACAAGACCTGTACATTCTTAAGAATGGCCCTACCCAGAATAACCACCATACAGCCAGCACCTGTCTACCCAAATAATAAGCAGGATTCAGAGGAGCGGTAAAGTAATATTTATCTGTAATTATTTGTTTTAATGTTTTTTTAAACTAAAAAGTCAGAAAGAGTGGCAGAATTATATCAGTGTTGGCAAGTACTTTTTAACCATCAAAGCCACGTTCCCCCATGATTGTCCTTTTTATGGAACTTCAAACAAAAGCTCTATACTGTAGGTCAACAAAATATCATTTTATAGCTATATCAGTTTTTATTAATTGTACAATTTCTCCTTATTATTATTATTTTCCCAGTCCAATGCTTGAGCAGTTTTTAAGTTAATTGAATGATATATAGCTTTACATTTCTTAAGTTTCCTTTTGTCATTCTTTAGAAATGCCATTGTTTATGTCCCTGCTGTCTGTGTGCAGACAGGGGCAGTTTTAGTGATTCAGGGGCCATAGGAAAAGTAAGGAATGGGGCCCGTTTAGCCCTTATCAACAAATGAATTACATATTTTCTATAATTATAAAATTATAAAGACAGTTAGCAGCAGACAGAACAGTTCAATCAATCAATCAATGTTTATTTATACAGCCCAATATCACAAATGTTACATTTGTCTCAGTGGACTTTACAGTTTGTACAAAATATCAGTATGACAATACGACACCCTCTGTCCTTAGACCCTCACATCGTACAAGGAAAAACATCCGAAGAAAACCCACAGTTTAAAGGGAAAAATGGGAGAAACCTCAGGGAGAGCAACAGAGGAGGGATCCCTCTCCCAGGACGGACAGACGTGCAATAGATGCCGTGTGTAAATTGAAAAGATAATACATTTGCAACATAGGTAGTCCAAATGTTTGGAAATGCACGTGTGTACAACAGGAAGACGAATCCACGAGGATATCCATCCAGGACCTATGATCCAGGACCAGAGCCACGACTCAAGATCCAGGGCTCGCGATCCAGGACAGAGGAGCGCAGGATCATCCATGACTCCGGATCCCGGCGTATATAGACACCAAAAAGAAAGACATTTGGGGAAGCTGGGTTAATCGGAACATGAGAGTACACAAGTATAGACAGAGAGAAGGAAGAAGTAAGATGTCCCCCGACAAACTAAGCCTATATCAGCAAAACTAGGGGCTGAATCTAATCAGCCCTAATTATAAGCTTTATCAAAAAGGAAGGTCTTAAGCGCACTCTTAAAAACGGATAGGGTGTCTGCCGCCCGAACACAAACTGGAAGCTGATTCCACAAATGTGGAGCTTGATAAGAAAAGGCTCTGGCTCCCATTGTACTTTTAGAGACTCTAGGAACAACCAACAACCCTGCATTCTTGGAACGCAATGCCCTAGTACAGGGGTGGCCAACCAGTCAGAGGTTAAGAGCCACATTTTTTCTCTGTTACTGCAAAGAGCCACATCAAACACACAGTCACTGATACAGCTTGTTTCAGTTTTTTGTTTTCTGGAGACAAGATTTCAACCACATCACTGATGCATTTTTGTGGCATTGGGATATATATTTTTTTAATCCTCTGGAGCAGAGAGAGGAGCTGTGGATTATTGTTATTGATTAATGCATCTGTTTAGGTCAAAAACACTAAACCCACAACTTAAAATGAAAGCGTTTATTTAATAAAAGAGCACATGTTCAATGTGAAAAGTGACAGTAGTCATAGATTATTTGCAATTTGGTGCTACATATATATTAAAAAAAAAAAATATATATATTTTTTTTAAACACCTTGAATTTCAGGGGGGGCGCGGGGCTCCGTTGGCGGGGCGCAGCTCCAAGACAATGATAGGGGAAATAGTGTTTAATCAACGATAGGTTTCCCTAAATACTTCCAAATTTCGCTTCTGGCGTCTTTTTTGTCAACAAGCCAAGGCGCAGCGGCAGTTGCACTCCCACTTGCAACCATGCTTCTCGTTTTCTCAAATGCTCTTGCAGCTAGCGCGTGCACGAGAGAGGGGAGGCACTTAGAGCGTGCTTGAGAGGGGAGGGACTTAAAACGTGCTTGAGAGGGGCAGGACTGCAGGCACGGCTGCAGTGCAGGGAGTGGAAGCAGAGCGCTGAACACACACGGCTCTTATTGAAACGGCGCTTTCTCACCGGAGTACTTTCCCCCGTCATTCTTAAAGTACCGATACTAATGAAACGGAGGAATCGTAACGTTTTTAACGGCAGAGTATCGCGGTATACCTTTCAAGTATCGTTACACCGTGCAACACTAGTCAGGACAGAGTCAGTGTCTCTCCCCCAAACTCACACATAAAATTCGATATGAACTGAAGAGCCGCATGAAACTAGGCAAAGAGCCGCATGCGGCTCGAGAGCCGCGGGTTGGCCACCCCTGCCCTAGTAGGACAGTAGGGTATAATGAGTTATTTAAGGTAAGATGGCGCCTGCCCATTAAGGGCTTTGTAGGCGAGAAGAAGAATTTTAAATTCTATCCTGTGTTCTATAGGGAGCCAGTGTAAGGCAGCCAGAACAGGAGTAATGTGGTCCCTTTTCCTAACTCTGGTTAATACACGAGCTGCAGCATTTTGAATCAGCTGAAGCGACTTGACTAACTTCTTGGTACACCCTGATAATAAAGAGTTACAATAATCCAGCCTTGAAGTAACAAATGCATGGACTAGTTTCTCTGCATCGTTTTGAGGCAAGATATGCCTGATTTTTGCAATGTTACATAGATGGAAGTAGGCGGTCCTTGAAATTGATTTTATGTGGGCGTTAAAGGATAAATCCTGATCAAATATAACACCAAGATTCCTTACAGTCTCACTGGAGGCCAAATTAATGCCATCCATAGTTAGTATATCCTTAGATAATTTGTTTCGTAGATTCTTCGGGCCAAGTACAATAACTTCAGTTTTGGTCGTGTTTAACATCAAAAAGTTTAAGGTCATCCACGTTTTTAAGTCCTTAAGGCAGTATTGAATTTTATTTAGATGATTAATTTCATCAGGCTTGATTGATAAATATAGTTGAGTATCATCCGCATAACAATGAAAGTTTACAGAATGATTCCTTATAATATTGCCTAACGGAAGCATATATAATGTGAACAAAATAGGTCCGAGCACTGAGCCCTGTGGCACTCCATGGCTAACTTTGGTTTGCGTGGAAGATTCATCATTGACACGTACAAACTGAGAGCGTTCAGATAGATAGGACCTAAAGCAGTTCCCTGTATGCCAACTAACAGTTAGTCTCTCTCTCTCTCTCTCTCTCTCTCTCTCTCTCTCTCTCTCTCTCTCTCTCTCTCTCTCTCTCTCTCTCTCTCTCTCTCTCTCTCTCTCTCTCTCTCCTCTCTCTCTCTCTCTCTCTCTCTCTCTCTGTTACCTCTCATTTATCATATGAAGAATTAATTTGCACAAATTGATTAAAGCCAATCTTAAAATGATTAAACAAACGCCTGTTTGAGACTCCTCAGTGCACACAAAAAAATAACTTGGAGAAATAAATAAATACTGATATGTTATTTAAGACCACCTCGTGTGTAACATGTTGTGTTAATGTTATGACATAATGTATTCTCATAAATGATGCGGGGTCTTTCGTAATCCTGAGGGCTTTCTTCCTGAGCCGCTGGGAGTAGAGGTCCTCCATGGATGGCAGCTCCGTCCTGGTGATGTGCTGTGCAGCTTTCACCACCCTCTGTAAAGTCTTACGATTGAGGGCGGTGCAGCTGCCGTACCAGGCCGTGATGCAGCCAGTCAGGATACTCTCTATGGAGCACCTGTAGGAGGTCAGGATCCTCTCTATGGAGCACCTGTAGAAGGTCAGGATCCTCTCTATGGAGCACCTGTAGGAGGTCAGGATCCTCTCTATGGTGCACCTGTAGAAGGTCAGGATCCTCTCTATGGAGCACCTGTAGGAGGTCAGGATCCTCTCTATGGTGCACCTGTAGAAGGTCAGGATGCTCTCTATGGTGCACCTGTAGAAGGTCAGGATGCTCTCTATGGTGCACCTGTAGAAGGTCAGGATCCTCTCTATGGTGCACCTGTAGAAGGTCAGGATCCTCTCTATGGTGCACCTGTAGGAGGTCAGGATGCTCTCTATGGTGCACCCGTAGAAGGTCAGGATGCTCTCTATGGTGCACCTGTAGGAGGTCAGGATACTCTCTATGGTGCACCTGTAGGCGGTCAGGATCCTCTCTATGGAGCACCTGTAGAAGGTCAGGATCCTCTCTATGGTGCACCTGTAGAAGGTCAGGATCCTCTCTATGGTGCACCTGTAGAAGGTCAGGATACTCTCTATGGTGCACCTGTAGAAGGTCAGGATCCTCTCTATGGTGCACCTGTAGAAGGTCAGGATCCTCTCTATGGTGCACCTGTAGAAGGTCAGGGTGCTCTCTATGGTGCACCTGTAGAAGGTCAGGATGCTCTCTATGGTGCACCTGTAGAAGGTCAGGATGCTCTCTATGGTGCACCTGTAGAAGGTCAGGATGCTCTCTATGGTGCACCTGTAGAAGGTCAGGATCCTCTCTATGGTGCACCTGTAGAAGGTCAGGATACTCTCTATGGAGCACCTGTAGAAGGTCAGGATCCTCTCTATGGAGCACCTGTAGAAGGTCAGGTTTGCACACATCTGCCCTGTCTAAAACAAAAGGGCAGGGCTCCTGATCCTTCTGTGCCTCCACAGCCTGTCTGATCTC